GGTCTTCCATCCTGCTTTGTTTTTTTGGGGGGGGGTTATGGAGAGGTTCTCGGCTCTTTTGGGGAGGGGTCCTCTTCCCCTAGGGGTGCATGGGATGCCAACCTGTGTCACAGCCCCTTGTCCCTGCAGGTGGCAGGACCTGGTGGTGGGAGCCCCCTACTACTTCAAGCGGAAGCAGGAGGTGGGGGGGGCCGTCTATGTGTACATGAATGAGGCGGGGGGCTTCCAGCCCGAGCCCAGCCTGGAGCTCACCGGGCCCAGCTACTCTGCCTTTGGCTTCGCCATCGCCAGCATAGGGGACATCAACCAGGATGGCTTCCAAGGTGAGGGGATGGGGGGCAGGGGGGGGGAGATTCTGCTCAAGTTGGGAGCAGCGGGTTGGGCAGTGCAGGGAGATGGGGGTCTGTGGAGAGGTTTGGGTTGGGGGGCACTGTGGTTTGGGGGGAGCTTGGATGGGGGTCAGCTGGGTCTGGGGGCACTTTGGGTTGGGGGGCAGTTTGGTTGGGGGGGGGCAGTTTGGTTTTAAGGGTCACCTCGGGTTTGGGGGCACAGTAGATGGGGGCACTGTGGTTGGGGGCACCTTGGTTGGGGTGTGGGGGGGGTGTTTGTGGTGGGTCAGGGTGAAGATTGGATGGGGTGAGGGATTGGGGGTGAAATGGGGCATTGTGTTGGGGTTAAAGAGGGGGGTGAGGACACAGGGCAACCCCTCCCCATCCCTGTGGGGCTGACCCCCCCCTGCACTCCCAGACATCGCTGTGGGGGCTCCCTTTGAGGGGCCAGGCAAAGTGTACATCTACCACAGCAGCGCCGAAGGACTGCGGCGCATCCCCAGCCAGGTATGGACCCCTCCTTTCCCCCCCCCAAAAAAAAGGGTACAGGGGCTGAAGCCCTACTTCACGGAGCTATCAGTGCCCCCCCCCAACCCACGCAGGTGATCAGTGGGGCAGAGCTGGGCCCTGCCAGCATGCAGACCTTTGGCTACGCTCTCAGCGGAGGGCTGGACGTGGATGGCAACTCCTACCCCGACCTGCTGGTGGGCAGCCTGGCTGAGCGCGTGGTGCTGCTCCGGTATGGGGACACAGGGCAGTGCCACCCTCTGCTGATGCACAATGCTCAGCAACCCCCTCCCCATAACCCTTCCCTCCCCCCCCATCACCCTGCAGTGCTCGCCCCGTCATCAACATCCTCGACAAAACCTTCACCGTCACCCCCAGCAAAGTGGATCCTGCACGTTGCACGCCCGACTCCTGGTGAGCAATTGTGCACGGGGGGGAGTGCCAGCACTGCAGCACGGTGCTATGGGTCCACTCAGTGCCTCCCACCACCCCCTTATCCCCCCCCTCCCCCCCACACACACAGCATCACAGTGACCGTCTGCTTCGCCTACAACCAGAGCGCCGGTGACCCCACGTACAAGGAGAGGATCAGTGAGTGCACGTGGGGGTGCATCCGTGTGGCTGTTGGTGCAAGGGAGCGTGCACGGGGGAGGGGGATGTGCGTTGTGAAGGCACGTGTGCATTAATGCTCAGATGGATAGAGGGGTATCTTTGCACGTGCAAGGGGTGCGTGTGTGCGTAAGGGGGGCACACGAGCGTGCTGCAGCCCCATTGCTGTGCCCCCCCCCAGCCCTGGAGTACACGCTGGAGGCAGACAAGGAGCGGCACCCCCCGAGGGTGAGGTTTTTGGGAACGCACTCGGCCACGTTCCGTGGCACCTTCCCCATGCCTGACACGCGCTGCGAGAGCAAGGAGCTGCTGCTGCTGGTGAGAGCACGAGGGCGTGCACCATTGTGCACCAGGGGGCACAACGGAGGACTGTTGTGCATCGATGCAGTGGGGGGGTTTGGGGCTGCAGTTTGTCCTTCCCTGCTGCAGGATAACATCCGTGACAAGCTGCACCCCATCGTGCTCTCCATGAATTACTCACTGGTGGAGCAGCCCCGCAGCTTCCAGCTCGGCCCCCATTCCCTCAATGCGTTCCCTGTCCTCAACCAGGATCAGTCCCACCAGAACGAGACCAAGGTGCTATGAGGGGCTACAGGGGGGAGAGCTGGGGGGTTGGAGTGGTGGGGATGTGACCGAGGTTGTCCCCATCCCAGGTGGAGTTCCAGAAGGAGTGTGGCTCCGACAACAAGTGCTACAGCAACCTGCAGCTGCAGAGTGCCTTTGTCACCGAGCAGAACCAGCCCCTGCCCAGGTGCTGTGTGCTCTGCTTCCCTCCCTGCCACCCCATCCTGTATCTGTGCCCCCCATCCCGTATCTGTGCCACTCTTTGCCCATGCTGCACCAGGAGCTGGGCTCAGTGATCCCTAAGGATCCTTTCCAACTCGGGATATTGTATGATTCCATGACATTAGGGCTATGGTGTGCCATCCCGTACCCATATCCATGCTGTGCCATCCCATACCTATGCTGCACTGTCCCATACATGTGCCCATGTTGTGTCCTATACACGTGCCCATGCTGTGCTGTCCCATCCCACATCTGTGCCATGCCATCCCACATCTGTGCTGTGCCACCCTGTGCTCATGCTGGGCCAGGAGCTGATCCTTACGAGTCTTTTCCAGCTTGGAGGATTCTAAGATTACAGAATCACAGAATGGCCAGGGTTGGAAGGGACCTCAAGGATCATGAATCTCTGAGCCCCCCCCTGCCACGTGCAGGGCCACCAACCTCCCCATTTAATACCAGCCCAGGCTGCCTAGGGCCCCATCCAACCTGGCCTTGAACACCTCCAGTGATGGTGCATCCACAACCTCTCTGGGCAGCTTGTTCACATGATTCAGATTATACAATGCTAAGTTTATGCTTTGCCATCTCATACCCATACCTACGCTGCCCTGTCCTATCTCCATCCCATGCTGCATTCCCCTCCCCATTCCCTGCCCTTCCCCTCCCCATTCCCTGCCCTTCCCCTCCCCATTCCCTGCCCTTCCCCTCCCCATTCCCTGCTGCATCTACATCCCATTCATCCCCTGCCCTGTCCCACCCCAATCCTCATTCCACCCCATTCCCCATCCCATCCCCTTTCCCTGCACCATCCCTGCCCCATTCCACGTCCCCCCTCTGCTGTTCTACCCCACACCCCCTCTGTTCTACCCCACACCTCATGACTGCAGCGTTCCGATCCTGACCCGCTCTGGGTTCTCTGTTCCCTAAAGATGTCCCTGTAGCATTGGGTGTCCCCATGGGTGGGTGTCCCCATAAGCCTCCACCCCCCTGCTGAGCATCCCTACCCCCCCAGGCTGAATGGCACTCAGGTGCTGCACTACAGCCGGGACACACGCAAGCTGCACCTGAGCATCAACATCACCAACACACCCACCTCTGCCTCCAATGGGGAGGATGCCCACGAGGCTCTGCTCAACATCACGGTGCCCAGCAGCCTCCTGCCCTCCTCTGTCCGCCCCGTGAGTGCCATCTGCCCACCCTATTTGGGGAGGGATCCAAGGGGGGGCACTCTGAGCCTCCTTCCTCATGCCCTCCCCCCCCAACCCTCTGCAGAGTGGTGCATGCACCTTTGCGGAGACGGTGCTGTGCGAGTTGGGCAATCCCTTCAAACGGAACCAGAGGGTGAGTGCTGCCCTGGAGCAGGGAGAGAGCTCTGGGGGGGGGTCCCGTACCACCCCACACCCATGGAGGGGGGGGTTGTTGCAGGCAGAGCTGATCATCACCTTCGAGGCCATCGGCATCACGCTGGACACGCGGGAGGTGGTGGTGTGGCTGGATCTGTCCACGTGAGTGGCTCTGTTTTGGGGTGTGGGAGGGAGAGGATGGGACAAATGGTTCTGGAGGGGATGCTGGGGTCTCCTGTGCTTGCTGGGGGAGGGTTGATGTTGCATCCATCAGCACTGATGCTCTGGGAGGGGCTCGATGTGGTGGGGTTGTGGGCAGGGTGGGGATGTTAAAGGGTGGCTGTGAGGGGGGTAAAGAGGTGGGGAAAACAGTGCTGGGGGGGGACGTTGGGGTTTCCTGTGCTTGGTGGGAATGTGTTGGTGTTACATCCATCAGTGCTGCAGCTCTGGGAGGGGCTGGAGGGAGGTGTGGGCAGGATGGAGCACCCTGGAGTGGGGGGCATTGCTGGGTGCCCTGGGGGTGCCAGCAGGGATGAAGGGGAGGGGAGGGGAGGGACGTTGGCTTCTCTTGTGCTTGAATGGAAGTGCATCTGTGCATCCAGCATGCATACATCTGTGTTGGTGCCCCGTAAAGGGTGGGGGTCACAACGCACGCCAAGCTGGGGGGCACAGGGATGGCAGCAGGCACTGACATGGTGCACTGTGTGCAGGCAGAGCACGCAGGATGACCTGCAGCCCGTGCTGGCCCAGCTGCTGGTGGACTACAGCCTGCAATCCTCGCTGAGCGTGTGAGCGCAGCCCCCGGCCCCCCACACCGCCCCATGTCACAGCGCTGCCTCACATCCCTCCCCTTTACCTCCCCCCCCCCCAAATTGTCCCCAGAGCCCCTGCACACCTGCAGTCCCACTTCAGCGGGACGGTGATGGGCGAATCGGCCATGCGCAGTGAGCAGGATGTGGGCAGCCCGCTGGCCTTCGACTTCCAGGTGAGATTGGGGACATTGGAGAGGGGGGGGACAATGAGGGGCTGGGAGGACTCCACCCCCCAGTGCCACCCCCATACTGCTCCCCACAGGTGATGACGAAGGGTGAGGCGTTGGGCACGCTGGGCACCATCGTGCTGGGCTTCGAGTGGCCCTATGAGATCCCCAATGGCAAATGGCTGCTGTACCCCACCGAGATCCAAATCAACAACAACGGTACCTGCAGCCCCCCCGGGGGGGTCATCAACCCCCTCAACCTCACGGTGAGTGGCTACCAGATGGGGGTACCCATGTTCTGTGTTGGCTTCGGGCTTTCTTTTGCTCACCCTGTTCCATGGGGCCATGCCCACACTGATGGCTTTTGGGGTCTTGCCCCCCTTCACCACCACCCAGCTGCTGGAGGATGGGACCCCCACCCGGCACCGAAGGGAGCTGGGGGGAGCTGAGCCTGGAGAGCCCCCCATTACCCTGGCCACAGGCAAGAAGGCGAAGTCAGAAGTGCTGCTGGTAAGTGAGGGGGGCTACAGGGGGAGTGCTGGGGGCTGTGGGGTTGCTAGGAGCTGCAGAGGGGGGCTGGAGGCGTGCTGCAAGCTCAGGGTGCAGCTGGGTGCACACACTGCTGGCTGCAGCCACTGGGAGGCAGCTGTCTGCTGCCAGAGTGCTGTGTGCACAGCAGCTTGCACGTGGTGCAGGAGGCAGCCTGCAGAGCAGCCAGCTGTTTGCATGCACCGACCGTGCAGCAGGGTGTGCGTGCAGCAAGGTGGGAATGGCGCGTGCAGCTCTGTGAGTGTGCAGCATAGCGATGTGTGTGGGTGTGCAGTGACCCCAAACCACGTGTGTGTGCATGCAGTGACCCCGAACTGCACATCGGTGTGCAGTGAGCCCAAATTGTGTGTGTGCAAGGACCTGAAGCTGTGCGTGTGTGCATGCAGTGACCCCGAACTGCACGCCTGTGTGTGCAATGACTTCAAAGTGCCCGTCTGCACGCGGTGACCCCAAACTGTGCGTGTCTGTGTGCAGTGGCCCCAAAGTGCACAACTGTGCACGCATTGACCCCAAACCGTGCGTGCGTGTGTGCATGCAGTGATTTATTGTGCATCTGCATGCAGTGATCCCAGACTGTGCGTGTGTGTGTGTGTGTGTGTGTGCAATGACCCAAAGCTCTGCACGTGTGCATGCAGTGATCCCAGACTGTGCATCTGTATGCAGTGACCCCAAACTGCACGTGTGTGTGCGCAGCGACCCCAACCCACACACAGCACACACCCCCAGCTGCATTCACTTCCCTCACATCCCACCCCTTCCCCACCATCCCTACATGGGGCAATGTGGGGCGGTGCCCCCCCTACACCCCCCCCCAACCTCGAGGACCCCTCCTGCCCCCCCTAGAGCTGCTCCCAAGGCACCGCACGCTGCATTTGGTTCGAGTGCCCGGTCCCTGCAGCACAGCACCCCGCAACCTTCCGCGTCCGCGCTCGGGTGTGGAACAGCACCTTCATTGAGGTCAGTGCTGCAAGGGATGGGGGGAGGGGGGGGGAGGGCCTGAAGGGGGATTATTTGGGGGGAGAGGGAGGGGGTCAGCCCCATCCCCACGGTGCTGCCATCCCCAGGAGTACCACAGCTTCGACCGGGTGAAGGTGGACGGCACCGCCACGCTGTTCCTCCGCACCCACATCCCCACCATCAACATGAGGAACCACACGGTGCGGGTAAGCAACGAGAGGGGGGGGTTTAATGTGGGGTGGGGGTGTGGGGCAGCTCTCGGTGTGCCCCCCTCCCATCCCAATTGCTGTCACCAGTTCTCAGTGGATGTGGACTCGGAGCTGACGGAGGAGCAGCCGCCGCAGGTCGCGCTGTGGTTGGTGTTGGTGTCGGCGGCGGCTGGGCTGCTGCTGCTGGGGCTGATCATTGTGCTGCTGTGGAAGGTGAGATGGGGGAAGGCTACGGTGTGCCATCCCATACCCATGTCCGTGCTGTGCCATGCTGTACCCTGTGCTGTGCCATCCCATATCCGTGCTGCGTTGTGCCATATGTGTGTCCATGCTGTGCCGTCCCGTGTCCATGCTGTGCCGTCCCGTGTCCATGCTGTGCCATCCCATGTCAATGCTGTGCCATCCCCTGTTGTGTCATCCCATACACATGGTGTGTCATCCCATGCCTAAACCTGTGCTGTGCCATCCTATGTCCGTGCTATGCCATCCCATGCCTGTGTTGTACCATCCCATACACGTGCCTGTGCTGTGCCGTCCCACATCTGTGCCGTGCCATCCCATCCCATATCTGTGCTGTGCCACTGTGTGCCAGGAGCTGATCTTTACGAGTCTTTTCCAGCTTGGGGGATTCTAAGATTACACAATGCCAAGCTTATGCTTTGCCATCCCATACCCATACCTATGCTGCCCTATCCTATCCCTGTCCCATGCCACATCCCACCCCAATCCCTATCCCTTCCTCATCCTGCCCCATTCCCTGCTACATCCATATCCCATTCCCCATCCTGTCCCACCCCATTTCCCATCCCATCCCCTTTCCCTGCCCCATCCCATCCC